CAAGAAAAAAATTTTGAAAAATATTCGCAAATGTGAAAGTCAGCGATTTTTCCAGTGACTTTTCTCAGTATAGTTTATTCACTTGTTCAACAACTATTTGAGTACTTAGAACAGCAATTTTCAACCCATGAGCCACGGCAGGTACACTTGCGTGCCACACGAATTTTTAAAACATGCAATACCTGACTAATCAGTCGGGGGCACTGACCTCTTTTCCCTTAGACTGTCAAATCACACAATGACAACAGCCAACACAACAATAGCCATCCGGTGTGAATGAATCAAAATTATACCTACCTTTTTCTTTGTCAGATTGGCAAAAACTATTTTGTGGGCGTGCCACAGAATTTTAGTAGTCAGTTTCTGTGTGCCAGGAGATGAAACAGGTGAAAATCGCTGGCCTCGCAGGTGCAAAGCCCTGGGCTCTAATGACAAACTAGTTTAGCTCACTTATTTGGACATATAACATTTCCAATAATTTTCTTGCAGCACGGCACTCACTAACTTTTTAAAAATAGACTTTTTTTTAGAGCAGATGTAGGTTCACAGTAAAACTGAGTGGAAAGTAAGGTTACCGTGCACTCCCTTCCCCATCACACATAGCTTCTCCCGCTGTCAAGGTTCTGTGCCGGAGTGGCCCACGGGTTGCAGTCGATGACCCTACATTGACAGTTCCCATCATCAGAGGCCATATTGACGTTGGGTGTCGTACCTTCTGTGGGTCTCCAGGATCCACCTGTGCAGTATGGCACCGAGCAGTTCCACTGCCCGAACACTCCTCTGTGACTTACCGATTCATCCTCCCCTCCCCCCGCCCCGGAAACCACAGGTCTATTGCCTCCATAGTTTTGCCTTTTCCAGAATGTCATGTAGTTGGAATCATACAGTATGTGGGCTTTTCAGATTGGCTTTTTTCCCCACCTAATAATATGCATTGAAGCTGCCTCCGTGTCTGTTCATGGGTTGATATCTCATTTTTTCTTGGTGCTGAGTACTCTATCATCTGGACATACCAGAGTTTATGTATTGATTCATAGACTGAAGGACATCTTGGTTGCTTCCAACTCTGGGCAATTATGAATAAAGCTGCTATAAACACCCTTGTGCAGGTTTTTGTGTGACTAGTTTTCAACTCATTTGGGGGAATACCAAGGAGTGTGATTGCTGGATTATATGGTAAGAGTACGGTGAGTTTTCTAAGTAATTGCCAAAGTGTCTTTTTGTTTTACTTTTCCTTAAGCTTTTTTATTGATTTTAGAGAGGGAGAATAAAGAGAAAGAGGGAGTGAAACATCAGTTTGTTGTTCCACTTATTTATGCATTGATTGGTTGCTCCTTGTATGTGCCCTGACTGGGGATCAAACCTGCAATCTTGGTGTATAGGGATTATGCTCTAACCAACTGAGCTACCTGGCCAGGGCGCCAAACTGTCTTCCATAGTGACTGTACTGCTTGGTCGTTGGTTGTTTTTTTTTTTTAATTTAAATTGATTTGAGAGAGAGAGAAAGAGAAACATCAGTTTGTCGTTCCACTTATTTATGTATTCATTAGTTGCTTCTTCTATGTGCCCTGACCAGGGATAGAACCCCCAACTTTGGTGTATGGGGACAACATTTAACACTCTAAACAACTGAGCTACCTGGCCAACCCATGTAGCTCTCATAATTTTTTTTAAATATAAAAAATATCTATACAGTTTTCACAGTAACTGTTTCATAAAATAGGAAAAAAGTCACTTTTCATCATAAAAACAATATAAAAAGGCATATTTTAAAAATTAACACATTTTATTCTTCAAAGACAAATAATCATAATCTTTTGATATAATTTCTTTTGGTCTTTTTTCTGTGCACAGCTTTTCTTTTCTTTTTTTAAATGACTTTATTTATTTATCTTAGACAAAGGGGAAGAGAGGGAGACAGAGAGGGAGAGAAGTATCAGTGTGTGGTTGCCTCTCACATGCCCCCTACTGGGGACCTGGCCTGCAACCCAGGCATGTGCCCTGACTGGGAATCAAACTACACAACACTTTGGTTCACAGGCAGGTGCTCAATCCACTAAGCCACACCAACCGGGGCTGTGTATGGCTTTTCAATGTCACATTTTAAACTTGATTTATGTAGAAATCTCACTAAAGAGATAACCCAAATCAAGAGTCTTGACTATTGAAAGTGTAACTTTTAAAAATGTAACAGGAACTGTCAAATATAGTATAGGCATTCTGGATACAATGTAACTACGGGTATCGGTTTTCCCAAGTTTGCTTTGTTTCTTTGAAGTAACTTATGGACCTTTGTTCTTACAGCCTTCTGCTCCTCCTTTCTGGGATAGGGGACTAGAACATACAATTTCATTTCAGTTTTGGCTTGAAATCAGCTATAATTACATTATTTTGGTTTGGGTTTGGTTCAAGCCAAAAGTGTGTTCCAACTAGTTGGTTTGAACCATACATTTTGGATTATTTTCTTGTTTAGGTTTTATAAACAAACATATCCAGGACTGTTACATGACAGTCAAACTTGGATTTTGTTTGCCTCTAAAGTCATTGCTCCTTAAATTGTATAAACTCTAATATATACTGATGTTACTGGATTGCCATTAGAAAAAGCCGGAAGCCCTGAACTTGGTAGAATTGGTTTGCTAAAAGGAAGGCCCTTTAGACAAGCGACCAAAACAATGTTAACCACCAAGTGTGATGAGTACACAGGGTCTTTGCTATACTGTGACGCTGCTGCACCCACTACATGGAAGACATTTACACTTCTTATGGCGTCTTTAGAAAGTTAGGATTGCATATTCTAAAGTTGCTGCTTTAAAATCAGCAACCAGGTTTGGATGGACCAAGTTTATGCTCAAGGACAACACAGCGGATCTTTAATCAACTCATTATGCTCAATCATAGCAAATCTGTTAACTCTTAATATCTGCTTCTTCACCTTTCTTTGGCCTCATTTCCCATGTAATTGATCATAGTGCATAAAATCCTTGGTTGGAAGGTTCCAATAAACATTTTGGAAAAATGCAAAATATAACAAAATGCTTAAATTGACCAACTGATGTACCGTATTTTCTGGACCATAAGACACACCTAGGTTTTAGAGGGAAAAAATTTTGGAGCAAAAAATGTGGTAAAATATTTAATAACATAAATAATATTTTCACCACTGTTAAATGTAAACAGAACTCAACAGCAGCATTAACAACCATTATTCCTCCCAAATTGGGGGGGGGGCATGCATCTTATAGTCCAAAAAAATATGGTAATTCATCAAAACTATGAGGGTATTCATTGTAAGATGCACTATTATTTTATATACGATTAAGAAAAAGTACCTACCATGTAATGGTAAGATGTCATTGACCACGAGGTACATTTCCATTTCAGAAATGTTCAAAAAAGCTGTTTTTTAAAAAACGTGTTAGAATTGATTAACTGCAACAGCGAGGTTTTAAATTTCCATTTGTAGTGTTATTTCAATGTTAATACACTGCCCTAACATTAAGTTATTAACCAGTAAAAATCAACAATGGAAGTTTGGTTTCTAACCTCTGTTTTCTCACTGACGTTCACACTGATAAACCAAAGAGCACAGGATTGGTTCTCAATACAGATATTAAACTCTTTCCTGATTTTAGTATATTATTTAACTGTACATTGAGGCAGCTCATTTAATCAATATTAACGATTATAAATTGCGATTATAAAATAAACTTCTTTACAAAGTTGACTTCAATTCTGAAACCTTTAAAGGAGGCCATGGATTATTTTTTTTAATCTCTTAAAAATAATAAACATTGTCTAAACATGAAACAATCGAAAAACAATTTAAACTCCTCTAGGATAAAGAGACAAACAGAAATGTTTAGTACTAGATTAAAACATCTTCTTGGACTGGTTTTAAATTAAGGTAAACACTAAGTTTACTTTACTCGCCATAGGGCCATTTCTTTGCTTTATAGAGCCGTACTATAAAATATGGCCGTGATTAAGATCCACCTGCGTTACTAAATTTTCTAGTAGCAAGCCATATTTATATTTAGTAAGGAAAACAAGAACAGTGTAATTAATTACTTAATTTAACCTAATATAAAATATATCGTCGTTTCAACATATAATCAATATAAAATTTACCGGTGGTCTTAAGACCTCTAGGGCATGGTTTACACTCGGGGCACATCTCAATTCGGTACTAGCCTCATTTCAAGCGCTCAATAGCCACATATGGCTACCCAATTAAACCGTAGGTTTAAGGGAGTTCAGTAGCAACTGATTCTTTACATTATGAGTTAGAGAATTTCTTTTATATTACATGCGGTCTGTAAGTTTCTTCTCTAAGAAACAAGAGACAAGTGTTTTCCCATCGCCTCCCCCGCCCATCCAAGAGACAAGATTATTTTACTCTCAGGTTCATTGGGATCCAAGACTCCAAGGCGCTTAAAGCTGGGGGGCCGGGGTGGGGGGTGGGCGGGGGAGGCGATGGGAAACACTTGCTCCCAGGAACGTGGGCTGGGGAAAGGCCTAAGCCGCTCCAAGCAATGCCCGGCGTAGAGGGTCAACAGCGCTGGAAGCTGGACCGTGAGACAACCCAGGCCTCTGACTGGAGCCCCGAATCTTTTTCTGGAGCGTCGTGGAAGAGCAGAGCCGGACAGAGGAAGAGCGGCATCCAAATGGGACACAGGGTCACAGTACGCCTCCGCTGCAACGCGGCCTTAGGCAGGCAGGGCCAGGGCGCCAGGGCCTTAGGCAGGCAGTGGCCGGAGACAGGAGCCTGGGGAAAAGCCCGGCCAGCATCCAACAGAAGAAGCCTCCCAAAGGTTCACTAGCGACCGTGACGCAACCCGCGCGCGAAGGCGGCAGGGTGGGCGGAGGGAGAGGAGAGGCGCGCACCGCCCCTCCGAGGGGCGGGCACCGCGGTTGCGGGGGGTGGGGGCGGGGACCCGGAGGGGCGGGGCGCGCCGGGGAGTTGGGGCGCAAGCTAGTGGTTTCGATTAGTTCACGGAGCTGCCGCGGCAGAGCAAGGCAGGAGGTGCGCGCCACGGAGTCCGGGGCGAGGCGGCGAGGCGGCAGGGCGGCAGCGGCTGGGGCTCAGGCGCGCAGGGGCCGATCGGCGGCCGCGAGGGTGCAGAGAGGCGAGCCGCAGCGCAGAAGCACGGCGAGCCACGGCCCCCTTGACCACCCAGCCCGACCACCGCAGCGCCTGCAGTTGTGAGCGCGCCCGGCACTGCGCGCTGGCGAGTGCGCGCGGGCGGGGGCGCGCAGGCCCTGCCCGCCCCTTCCGTCCCCACCCCACTCCGCCCCTTCCTCTCCCCATCTTCTCCCCTCCTGCGCCCCCGCTCCGGGCTCCTACCCTGTCCTCCTCCTGCGGGAGCGCTGTCCGCCGCGGCGGCCGGAGCAGGCCGGGCCGGGCCGGGGGATGGCGCTGCTGGACCTGGCCCTGCAGGGAATGGCCGTCTTCGGGTTCATCCTCTTCTTGGTGCTGTGGCTGATGCATTTCATGGCCATCATCTACACGTGAGTGAGGGGCAGCTGGAGGAACCCTTGCGGGGTTTGGGGACAGGCGATAGTGGGAGGGATTGCGCTTTGGAGGGTATTAGGCTCGGGTTGGGGTACCGAGAGCTAATTCTGAGATGTTTCCTTCATTCCCTCTCTCCCTGGACCATCTGGGGCGGGGGGGTCCTTGGACGGAAAAGTGGTGAATGAGGGGGTTGCTGGGTTGCAGGCGACTGCACAGCCATGGAAAAGGAGACTACGCTCTTCTTACGTGTCGTGCTGAAGGTTGCCTGCTTGGTTTGTGGGTTGTGTTTGATTTTTCATCTGGGCCAAGATGTGTGGTGTGTTATTTTCCTCTTGACCTGGGCTACATTTCTATTTTGGTGATAATCGTTTCCACTCCTCTGAGAAGGCACACACAGCCACCTGGAACCTCCCTGAGGATTATCTTCTTCCTAGAAGAGCTCTACGCCCTCGAATAGGTGTGAAGCACCTGTCCACCTTAAAAATACCCACCAAACCAAACCCCCGAGCTGGCCTTACGGCCTTGAGTCCTGTCAGCGTGTACATTTCAGTGTGGTTTTCTCTCCTTTTTTCCCAATTTCTTGTTTATTACCTTGTTTAGATTTGTGTCGCCCCCCCACACACACACACCTTTTCATTGTTAATTTAACATAACGCTTCTTGAGGTCTGTCAGATGCTGCTCACTGGCGGCACAGTGATGAGCTGGACAGAGTTCCTGTCCTCATAGAGCTTACAGTCCAGAAGTAAGGGACGTAAAAGTCCGAAGAAACTTATTTCCGTTAGTGATAAAGCCTATGAACAAAATAGGGTGATGAGAAATGGCCTGGGGTATGTGGGTCGCTTTGATATTTCAGTTACTTAAGTGTCTTTCAACCGATGTCAACCTTCGCAAAAAAGTGAGAATCACATAGGTCATGTTACTGATACAGATTCACTGGGTTTTCAGCTTCACCAAAGATGACTCTATGTGGTTATCTTTACCACCAACTAGACTCGGGCGTATGAGAGATGGGAAGGACTTCAAGAAATTAAATAATTGTAGTTTTTTTTTCACTTTTTACTACATAAAAAGTATTTTTTAAATTTTTTGTTGTGGACATGCTGCATTTTGGTAGTGCCGTGTGGCATTTTCTGGTACTGGAGGAAGATGCTACACTGTGCAGGGCACAAAGGGTATTTCTTTGAAGATGAAAGGAAGCATGCCACTTGGATGCTGTTGGGTTTAGTTTGGGGAGCTTGTCATCTGTAGTCATGGAACACATTCTGGAGTTCATGTTAAATGCATGAGGTTTTAAAAGACAATTTTATGACTTTTTCCAATCATAAAAATAAAAAATGCTTTCCGTATAAGGAATTTACACAACGTGGACAGGAATAAAGAAGAAAGTCAAACACAACTAAAACTCCGTGACTTTGTCAACCTTTCGTGATTGTCCTTCCAATTATATTTCTGTTTGGGGGAAGGAAGAGAAGAGAGGGAGTGAAGGAAGGAGAAAGGGACTTTGTTATGATTATTGTTCTGTAACCTGCTTTTAAAATTCAAGTATTTAATACATGATTTGGGGGAAGCTCTTTCAGACAAGGCACTGTTCTAGGTGCTAGAAATAACAGTGAAGAACAAGACACACGGCTGCTCCCATGGAGCTCCTGTGTAAAATGTCATGCATATTTTTGCATGTTAATGTATGATCTCTGCATCATTTTTACATCACTGAGTGGCATTTTCATTTCTGATGTGCAAATATGTATTTGTTATTGGTGGGCATGGCGGCCATTTAACTTACCAAGGTTAACAAACACTGATGAATTCATATGCATACATGTTTGAGAGATACCTGTTTTAGGTTATAGTTCTGGATGAGATATTATGGGGCTGGAAGTGGTGCTAATTTGAAACTTGGATACACACTGCTCTGCCGCAGTGATACATGTTGCTCGACAGCAGTGAGCGTTTTTCAGCTGGTGCCGCAAGAGTTTTTAAAACATGCGATACCTGACTGGTCAGGGGCACTGCCTTCACTTCGCTTAGAATGTCAAATGGAAAAGCAACAGCACCCAACACAACCATTGCCAGCTACTGTGAACGCATCAAAATTATAGCAAATTTTTTTGTCAGATTGGCAAAAACTATATATATATACAATACATTTTTGGCATGCCGCAGATTGAGTAACTAGTTTATGTGCGCTGTGAGATGAAAACGATTGAAAATCTTGAAAATCGCTGGTCTGCAGGAAGGCTGTATCTATTCCTAGTCCTGGTAACATTGTATGATGGCCCCCATTTCCCTTTGCTAAGTATCAGGCTTTTTACTACTTTCTGTTATTTTTTTTCATGGCTTTAATTACTAGTTCCACTGAATGCTTTTCATATATTTATGTTAGTTACATTTAGTTGTAAGTTACATGCTCATAATCCTGTGCTATGGTCTATTGCTGAGTGATCTTTTTGACATGAATGTTGTTTTTGTTAACTTTTACCAGTACTCTTTTTTTTTTTCAACTTTGTACACATATTTAACCTGGAGAAAGTGTGTATGCCTGTGTGTTTTAGGTAGTTAAGTCTTCTCATGTTTTCTGACTCAGGCACAATTTTTATATCTTTTCTATCCCCCCCCCATCACTATTTTTTTAGTATTTTGAATTTTCTCAGGGTTTTTTGGGTTTTTTTTTTTAAGATTTTATTTATTTATCTTTAGAGGGGAAGGGAAGGAGAGAGGGAGAGAAACATTAATGTATGGTTGCCTTTCATGCATCCTCTGCTGGGAACTGGCCTGCAGGGAACCGGCCTGCAACCCCAGTATGTGCCCTGACTGGGAATCGAACCACGATTGTCTGGTTCGCAGGCCCGCGCTCAATCCACTGAGCTACACCAGCCAGGGCTGGGGTGTTTTTTTTTTTACATTTTGTCATATGAGATCTAGAGTCATAGTTTTAGGTTTACCTAAATATTTAGCCACTTTCCCCAGAATCATTTGTGAAATGATTATTTGACTAATCCACAGCTTTGAAATACTATATTTATTATAAATTCTTCTGAATACTTTCAGAAGTATTCAGTGCTCCCACTGCTGCTTCATTGATCGATTAGTTCTTGGATCAGTATCCATTCTTCTAATTGATGAAAGCAAGCTCCATCTTATACTTTTGCAAACTTTTCTTTTGCTTTTTACACATTTTTAAGAAGATGAACTTTAGAATATTTCTATTCAGAATAAGTAATCTTGTTTTTTAGTTGGAGTTGTTCAATGTACAGCTCAGTTTGGAGAAAATCGACTTTTCCAGCATAGCCCCACCCTAGCTGCCCCCTGCCCCCTATTTCATATGCACATGACGGTGATCACGCTTCTTTATAGAAAGCGAACACAAGGGGTGTGGCCTAATATCCCTGGTAACCGTCCGGAGTGTTTAGACTTGAGACGGCTCCAGAATTGTTTTAGATATTTATTGTGTACTTAATGATAAACATCAACATCTTCTTAAAACACTTCACGTTTTTGAGAATAGTGCAAACATTTAACTTAGTTGAGATACTGTATGGAGGCATTGTATTTCTTTTTTTTTTGTGATTTCTTAATTTATTTATTTTTTTTAGGCAGAGAGGAAGAGGAGGGAGAAAGAGAGACAGAAACATCAATGTGTGGTTGCCTCTCCCATGCCCCTTACTGAGGACCTGGCCTGCAACCCAGTCAGGGTGCATGAATCCAACCAGCAACCCTAAATCTATTTTTTTAAGATTTTACTTATTTATTTTTATGCTCTGACTGGGATCGAACCAGCAACCCTTTGGTTCGAAGGCCAGCACTGAATCCACTGAGCCACACCAGCCAGGGCTTGTATTTATTTTCTAATAAATACCCCACAGAGTTATGTTTATGGACAGTAATAAGATTCGGAAAAGTTCTGTGAAAACAGAATTTAAAAAATGCAATTCATTTATAATGGGTCATAATGATCAGCTAGTTAAAAGAATGTAAATACCTTTCTGAAATGGATAAATGAACAGAGACCAAATAATCAAGAGCTTAATGTACATGTGTATAAATTAAATATTAACCTTTTTCTTTTTGATAAGTTCCTTCTGTTTCTCCTTCAGAATTATTTGCACGTTTGAGTTGATTCCTTTCTTAATGAAGTAAAGATGCTTCTCAGTTTAATTTGAGTTGCGTTGAAGCAGAAAACTAAGCGTTTTTTCCTCACCCTCTCTTTAGTGTATTTAGCAAACTCGCACACTTGATTTCTCAAAATTAGGCAATTTTATGTAAAATATTGTGCTAAACCTTCTGTATTTTATCCAAAAATATTTTTCTAAGCACATGTTCTATGTCCTCTCAAATCCTTTTGAAATAAGTTAAAATATAAATAGACCAAAATAAGCATTTATCGATACTCCTAAAACCTTGTGTACGCAACTGGTGGAACTCGAGCTTATTTTTAAAAATTTATATGGTTGCTTATCTGGTTTTCAGATTAAGGTGCATGATCTGTGGGCTCCTAATTATTTTAAAAAAGTGTTTAGGTACTATAAGTATTGTAGTAAAATTGTTGAGAAAAACCAAAACACACTTAAAAAAAAACTCAATACTCTATGTTCTCCCCTATAAGAGGAATCTAATGAAGAAAATAAACTATTGAGCAAAATAGACCAGAGGCATAGAAATTCTGGGACAGACAGCTGTAAAAAGGGCTAGGGGAGTAGGGGCTGACTGAAAGCAGGGGAAGAGCCCTGGCTGGTGGGACTCAGTGCACTGAGCACCACCAGTGAACTGAAAGGTTCCTGGTTCAATTCCCAGTCGGGGCACATGCCTGGGTTACAGGCTGGGTCCTCAGTTGGGGGCGTGGGAGAGGCAACCAGTCTGTTTCTCTCACACATCCATGTTCCTCTTTCCCCCTTCCTTCCTCGCTCTCTAAAAATAAATAGTCTTTAAATTACAAAAAGCCATTTAGTATGTTTCTTTAAACGGGGGGGAAGGGATTAGTCAGAGAACATATATGAC